TGTTGTCGGGAGCTCGTTGGGGCGTTCGCCTTGCGCATGCGCTATCGGGCGGTCGCACGTGGGTCGGTGGCTCAGAAGGACAGGACCATCGCGAAATTTTGAAATTTCGTTCTGCGCTCGTTGGAGCGTTCGCTTTGCGCTTGCGTGTTCAGAGGGTCGCACGCTGGCATGAGTTTCTCTGTGTTTGGCCGTCTTGGGGCCACTGGTGGCCCCGAACTTCCCGCAACGATGGCGATGAGTTCCAGGACCGCGATGATGATGTTGTTGATGATGACGACGACGGCGATGACGACGACGACGATGATGATGATGATGATGATGATGATGATGTTGATGATGATGATGATGCGGATGATGATGATGATGATGGTAAGTGTGATGATTATGATGTCGTTGCTAATTATGATGATGATGATGATGATGATCGTAGGACAGGTTCCAGAACGGCCACATGATTGGGTCCTATTGGGACACCGTGGCGCGCTGGATGAACATGCGAGCCCAGCGGGACGCGGACGTCCTGAAGAAGCCCCTCTTCCTCGTGCAGGCCGCCGACAGGTCTGCCCCGACGATGAGCAGGAAGGACGCCGCCAAGATGATGAACTGTGCCAACCCGAAGAACACCGGTGGCATGCACGGACTGCTCCCGGTGCACGTGGGCATGCGGATCCGGCTCCTGGAAGCGCTGGACCTCAAGAACGGCCTCGTCAAGGATGCCGAGGGGCAGATCGTGCACATCGTCGTGGACCCTCGAGATCGGGGCGACGTCGACAATGCCGAGAGAGACGGGGAGAAGAGGATCCATCTAAAGCACTTGCCGCTGGGGTTCTGGGTGCGCATGGAGAAGTACGCGAGCGCGCCCTTCGTGGATGACCTCGAGCGCCACGACGACAGCCTCACGGGGGACCGCACGGGCCCGCTGGTGTTCATCGAGCCTCGCACGTCGGAGCCGTTCACCTTCCGCACCTCCAAGGTCACCCGGACGGGCTTCCCGCTCTCGCGCGGCAGGGTCATCACCACGGTTGCGTGCCAGGGGCGCACCATGCGAGAAGGCGACGGGGCGGGGGAACGGCGCTCCAGGGACGGCCAGACCTCCGGGGCGCGAGCAGTCCGCAGCCATCCTTCGGTCCTGTGGGCGCTCGCCCTGGGCCGTCGGCTGCCCGGCGCGCTGCCCCCTCGGCCGACGTCGCCCAGGCGTGATCCTGGACTGCGGCCGCCACGAGGTCGGGAACGGCAAGAAGGAGGACGACGACTGGTAGCTGGAGCTCTACGCGCTGCTCTCGCGCGCCACGCGCCACGAGGACCTCCTGCTCATGCGGGCGCCGCGCATCGAGTTCTTCCTGGCCGGGCCGCCGGAGGGCTCGCGTAGGCAGCTGGAGCAGTTTGCGGCGCGCACGAAGCGGTGCAGGAGGGAGGCGACGGCCCTCGCCAGGGAGCTCGGCTTCACCGAATTTATCCGCGAGGCCTGACCTGAGGAGCGGCCCGCCCCAGCCGCGCCTTCTTTTGGCTGTCCGACTGCTTGGCCTCGCCCCGCGGGCGACTCGCGCGCGTCGCTGGGGCCCTCTCGGGGCGATCAGCGCGCGTCGCGCAAACTCCGCGCTGCGCTCCGCCAAGCGCCTCGCCCGCCCTTCGCTGCTTTTCCAGCGGCCAGAGCGAGGCGCGCTATCAGTTAGCCAGCAAGCACTATCTGTCCTGCACAGCGGACGAACCGCGCGCGTCACTGCGACCCCTTCGGGGCGACTTGCGCGAGTCGCGAGGGCTCCGCGTTGCGCTGCGCCCGCAGCCTTGGACTTTGGAGTGCGCGGGCAAAGAGGAAGGAACATGAGGAGATGAAGCGGGCGCGATCCTCGGCGGGGCGTGTCGACATGGGCGTCGCGGCGCGCGGGCGCTGCCGTCGGGGTTCCCAGGGAAGCTCCCTGCAGAGGCTACATTCAGTGTCGCGAGTTCACACTCGGGGACATTTACACTAGGCGTCTCCATGCTCGCAGTCATGCAAATAAAATCAATCGCACGCAGACTCATTCATAATCAGACTCACTCGCGCTCAGACTCACCCGCGCTCAAGATTTCATACTCAGGCCGATCGTCTCCCGTTTCGTCTTCCGTTCGTATCGCGTACCCGGCCACACATGTCGGCACCCCCCTCGCACGGTTCGTGGCCCCGTAGGCTCGCCACCGAAGAAGATGTTCACAATAGCGGTACTCACAGCTGCATATGGTTGGGTCCTTCGCCAGGTTATTTTTTTCATATTCTCATTTGTTCCATCTTTTTCGGCCCCCCTGGGGCGGCGGGGAAACCCCGAGAGGCCGAACGAGAGAGCGAAAAACATGAAACAAAAAGAAAGATATTGAAAAAACTAGGTTTTCAATGGAAAAAAGCCGGGTCCGGGACTTAAGACGCCGGACGTTTTGTATGTATTTAAATAGAAAAAAGTAAGGCCCCCTGCGGGGGATTTCTTGGGATACCAGGGGTTCCTTCGGATTGCATGGAATTCCTCGGGATTCTTGTGGAGTCCGAAGGATTCCTAGGATTCCCTGGGATTCCTGAGGGATTCCGAGGATTCCCCAGGGATTCCTATGTTTCCCTTGGATTCCCAAGGGATTCTCTAGGGATTCCTTAGGGATTCTATGGATTCCCTACGGATCCCCTAGGGATTCAAAGGATTCCGTAGGGATTCCTAGGATTCCTTTGGATTCCCAAAGGGTTCCCCAGGGATTCTCTAGGGATTCTTGGGATTCCTTAGGGATCCCTTAGGGATGACGAGGATTCCCCAGGGATTCCTTTGGGAGTCCTTTGGTTCCGTAGGGATTCCCTAAAGATGCCTTAGGGTTTCCTGGGATTCCTTAGGATCCCCTACAGATTCCGAGGATTCCCGAAGGATTCCTAGGATTCCTTTGGATTCCGTAGAGATTCACTAGGGATTCCCTATGGATTCGATAAGGATTCCCTCGGGACCCCCTAGGGATTCCGAGGATTCCCTAGGGGTTCCCAGGATTCCCTTCGATCCCGTAGGATTCCTTAGGGATTCTCTAGGGATTCCTAGGATTCCCTAGGGATCCCCTAGGGATTCCGAGGATTCCCTTGGATTCCGTTGAGAGTCCTTAGGGATTCCCCAGGGATTCCTAGGATTCCTTTAAATCCCCTAAGGATTCCGAGGATTCCTCAAGGATTCTCAGGTTCCCTTGGATTTTGTAGGGGCTCCTGAGGGGTTCCCGAGGGATTCCTAGGATTCGATAAGGATCCCCTAGGGATCCCAAGGATTCCCTAGGGATTCCCAGGATTCCTTTCGATCCCGTAAGGATTCCCTAGGGATTCCAAGGATTCCCTAGGATCCCTTTGGGATTCCGATGATTTCCCAGGGATTCCCAGATCTTTTGGATTCCGTAGGGATTCCCTAGGAATTCTTAGGATTCCCTAGGATCCCCTAGGGATGCCGAGGATTCCCCAGGGATTCCCTTGGGATTCCTTGGATTCCGTAGGGATTCCCTAGGGATGCCTTAGGGTTTCGTAGGATTCCCTAGGATCCCCTAGAGATTCCGAGGATTCCCCAAGGATTCCTAGGATTCTTTTGGATTCCGTAGAGATTCCCTCGGGAGTCCCCAGGGATTCCGAGGATTCCCTAGGACCCCCGGATTCCCCTAGGACTCCTTGGGCTTCCCTGGGGATTTCCTGGGGATTCCTAGGATTCTTTTAGGATTTGGGATTCCCATGGGATTCTCAGGATTCCTTCGGGGTTCCTAGGATTTCCTCCGATCCCATTAGGATTCCGAGGATTCCCTAAGGATTCGTAGGAGTCTGTTGGATTCCCCAGGGATTCCCCAGGGTTCCTCTAGGGATTCTCAGGGTTCCTACGATTCCTCCGGATTCCACGGGGATTCCTAGGATCCCCTTTGGATTCGGGATTCCAATGGTATTTCTAAGATTCCTTAAGGATTCCTAGGGTTCCCTAGGGATTCCTGGGATTCGCTAGGATCCCCTGAGTTCGGAGGATTCCCCAGGGATTCTTAGGATTCCATTGGATTCCCTAGGGTTCCCTAGGGATTCCTTTGGGTTGCCGGGGGGATCCTTTGGGATGCGTGGGGCCCAAGATTCAGGGATCGGCCTAGGGCCCTGGGCGGAGGAGGAGGAGGAGGAGGAGGAGGAGGAGGAGGAGGAGGAAGACGAGGAGACGAGGATGAGGGGGAGGAGGGGATGAGGAATACGGAGACGAACACGTGCGGAGGATGAGGTGGAGGAGGAACTCTGGAAGTGGAACTCTGTGACGGCTTATCGTCTGCCGAATTGTAGAGATACCACAGGACCCCTTCACCCCTTGGGATTAGCCTGCCGCAGCGCCCGTCGGAAGCGGCCAGCCGCGCGCCTGGCCTCGATCTCTGCACGGAGCTCGGGGGTGATACGCGGCGTGGGAGGTAGAGGGGGGGAGCAGGGAGCAGGGGTACCCAGGCCCAGCCCCATGGCGGCCTCAGCGGCCACCATCTCCTGTAGCCACGCCTCCTGGGGATGCCTGTGTAACCTCTTCGGGGAGGCCTGCGTAGGGAGGGCAAGCTTGGATGAGGACGAGGAGGGGAAGGAGGGGGAGGAGGAGGAGGAGGAGGAGGAGGAGGAGGAGGGAGGCAGGAGGAGCGGGGGAAGGAAATGAGCGAGGGAAGGGAAGGAGGAGGGGGCATGAGGGAGGGAAGGAGGGAGGGAGAGAGCTGCGACCGAGTGTTGAGGGCCGCCGAGGGCTTCCGACGGCCGTCTCTTGTGTTCGATGGTGCCGACGGCTTGGGGGGGCGCGAGCGTCTTTTGAGGTCCGCCCCGAGCCTACGGGGATTCGGAGGGCCCCCGATAATCCCGGAACGGCCTCGGATAGCTTCGGATGGTGTCGACGCGGCCTGGGATGGCCTAAAGTAGCCTCGCATAGTTTCCGGTCCACTGTGGAGGCGCCCGACGTGGAAGCGAATGTCACTTGCTACGGTGGTAGGATCTCCGCTTCCGTACGCATTGTTGCTCAAGCCGTCGAGTTTCGCTAGACCCCTGTTTTCCTCGGCGGCGCGCCGAGGGGGCCAGGGGGAAGGGGAGGGCTTCTTAGAAGATAGGGTGCTTCTTAGAAACCCTCGGAGGCTTCTAAGAAACCCTCGGGAGGCTTCGAAGAAGCACCCCGCCTTTTAAGAACCCCCCCTCACTCCCCCTGCCCCCTTCGGCGCGCCGCAAAGTTCCGCAACAATGAAGACACAGGCCCAAAGCCGTAGGGCCGCAGCTGCTGGTGTTGCCCTCGTCGCGCTAGCCAGCAGCCTGCTGCCTGCCAGCGAGGAGCCATGCGGGAGCGCAGATGCGCCGTCCTCTGGCGTCCTGGTGTGCGACCAAGAGACGGGAGGTATCTCGCACGAGAATACCGGAGGAGGGCAAGTTCAGACCGGGGTCTCGGTTGCGTTGTTTTGGGATGCCCTCGCCGCCGCGATTGGGCGCGGCTCAGAGAACTTGCGCGTGAGGGCCCCTGGCGGGGTCCAGGGACCGATTTTGACCGCGTTGTCTGAATTGCCGCTCCTCCGAAAAGATCCCCATTGTCCCGTTTGATTTTGAGGCCGCCGTCCAAGCCAGCCTGGAACAGAAGGCTTTGGAGGATGCAGCACCCCGTGCTATGGAAAAGGAAATGCAGGCTTCTCTGTCCAAGTTCAGTGAGACAGCTGCAATCGATCGCGAAACTCCCAAAGACGGGTCATGCTTGTTCCACGCGCTCAGAGCAGGGGGTCTCTTTTCTCAGAGGGCCCTCGGCGACGTGCGCCTGAGCACTCGAGACCTCCGTAAGATGGCAGTGAACGAAGCCAGCGACCAGCAGGTTGCCATTGCAGCTGCGAGCAACGACCCGTCCATGTCCGTGGACGACTACAGGGAGGGCATGAGGAATGGGGAGTGGGGCGACAATTTGATGCTCGCGTGCTTGTCGCGGGCTTTCAACAGGGCCATCACTGTCATTTCGAAGGACACAGCTCGCACCTTCTTGCCAGATGGCGAATCCCCTGGCGTTCTGGAGGACGCAGCTTGGGTAGCTCATTATTCTGAGGTTCGCTACTTCGGAGTGAAGCGCGGCGGCGAAGACCCCGAGCCAGACGCAGGCCCGCGGAAGCGGCTGGCAGGGAAGCAGAGGGGGACCTCTTTCGAGGTGCGCCTGCGGCAGGACCGTATCGGGAAGACGCAGATGGCGAGGAGGGCACAGCGACTTGGGGACAACATCATCGCCCTGCCTGCGGCTCGCCCCGCCCCGTTTCGCAACCCCCGTGCATGCCAGCGTTGCAGCGTGGCAGCAATTATTGCATCGCATGCATCACTGTCCGTGCCGCAGCTGTTCTAGGCTTAGAGAGACGAGCTGCGCTCGCGTCTAGCTGAGAGATTGACTGACCAGCGATCGTTCGCACGACCGCTGGACAAAGGACATCTGTCACGCGATATCTCAACATCACAAGTGAGCATTCAATCACGAGATCAAAGAAAAGATGACGTCAGTTTGGGGACATACAATCATTCAGAAGGATCGGAGAGGAATCTCAGAAATATCCCGAACGTACCCCACGGCGGCTGTTCATTCTCCGAAACTCCCTCACGGGGTCGAGCTCCTCCACGCATCCCCATGGGTGAGGTTGCGGGCCCCCTGTCCCCCTCGTCCCTTCCAGAGACAGCACTATGCCTCCTGCCGCGCCTCGCCGTGCCAGGCCGCGCGGCGGCGGATCTTCAGGAAAGGAGGCAAGAAGAGGCAGCGCGGAGGCAAGAGGAGCGAGGACGAGGACATGGACGACGAGCAGGCGTGCCAGCACGAGAAGGACGCCCCCGACATGCCAGAGTGGAAGAACGTGCCGTACACCCGCGACACTCAGTGCAGCCCTGGGCTCGACGCCAGGGGCAGGCGGGCGCGCCCAGGGGGCAGGAGCAAGAGATCTCGCGGGCAGGGCCTCTGGAGCCTGCTCGTTGGGAAGGACAGCGAGACTCGCCTCTTCGAGTGGTGCGTCAAGAACGGCTTCCTGACGGACCGGAGGAATGGGCCTTGCCCCAAATGCGGTCAGGCGGGAACGTGGGGCCTGGACGCGGGCAGACAGGGAACAGGGTGCTCGTACGTGTGCTCGAGGAGACTCTGTCGGTACAGGGAGTCCGTGACAGAACGGGAGCCAGGATTCTTCTCCCCAAGAGTGCCTCTCTCCAAGCAGATGATGGTGGCGTTCCTCTTCGTGAACCACGGACAGCCCGGGGCCGACGTGCTGGCGAACACCGCTGAGATGGACGAGCACTCGGCGACCGCCCTGATTAACAATTGCAGGCAGGTTGCCACGTGGTGGATGATCAAGGCCAACATGGCGTTGCAGGTGCGGATATGAACAGACGCCCCATGTCCTCCTCGGGGATGGGGGGGAGGAGGAGGAGGAGGAGGACGACGGGGCGGGGGAGGAGGGGGGGGCGGAGGAGGAGGGGGAGGAGGACGACGACGCGGAGGAATGCTTGTGTTTTCGGGGGGGCGCCTGTCGCCAGCCGTGTGTTGGACTTTCCGCAGGTGGGCGGGCTGGGCGAAGACGTGGAGGCGGACGAGGTGAGCTTCCGGTGCGTTCCGACAGAGGAGGACGGAGCCGAAAAGATGGTTTGGGCCAGGTTCGTCGGGGTCGTGCGCAGGGGCGGTTCCTTGTATTACTGGGGCGAGTTGGAGACCAGGAAGACGTGCGCCAAGCAAGGTGGTGGAGGTAAGCTGGGGTCTGCTGAGTGGGAGCACCACGCGCTGCGCAGAGGCTCAGATTGGGGCTACCAGTCGCGACCGCTCCTGTGTCCAGGGTCGGTGCTCCACACAGACGCCGCGTCCGCGCACATGCAATGCCACGGGAAGCAAAAGGACACAAGGTATCAGCACCTGGGCGTCTGGGCCACACAATGTCGCCACAGCAGAAAGAAAGGCCCCAATGGACAGTGGCTCCCTCGCCAGTTCGCCGTCCGCAAGAAAGTGCAACTTCTCTCGGGGGAGTGGGCATGGCGGGAAGGCGGAACCCAGAAAAGGATGGCTTTTGGGCATCCATTCGGAGGCGCGTGAGTCGCCGCGCCGAGCCCAGCTACCGGTCCTCCGTGCTCCGCCAGATGGCATACTTCTACCAGTGGCTCTACTGGAGGAGCGCGGACCCGATTGCAGACGCACTCCGAGGTCGCCGCGCTGGCCCCCAGGCCATGGACATGGCGGCGGCCCTGGGTCAGCTTCGCGGCCGGTTGAAGGACGCAGTCGGAGAGCGCGCATTGGCAGATGCAGGAGACGCCTGGTTTGAAGCGGTAGTGGACCAGCGCAACGATTTGATGCCAGATTTTCCTTGCAGGAAGCGGAAGAACGAAAAATGTCCACCCAACAAGAGGAGGACAGGCAAGCAAGGCGAGCAGGCATAGGAGTCGAGTTGCGTAGGGCGCTGAAAAGGCAGACGTCGTGCTACGACGCCCGATGTTGTTGCTGCCGCCTCCTCTACTTGCATTGTTATTACTACTACGAGTACGACTACTACTACTACTACTACTACTACTGCTACTACTACTACTATTTACTATTACTACAACTACTACAACTACCACGGCTACGCCTACTACTACTACTACTACTACTACTACTACTACAACTACTACTGCTACTACTACAACTACCACGGCTACGCCTACTACTACTACTACTACTACTACTACTACTACGACTACCACTACTACTACTACTACTACTACTACTACTACGACGACGACGACTACTACTACTACTACTACAACTACTGCAACTACTACTACTACTACTACTACTACGATTACTACTACTACTACTACTACTACTACTACTACAACTACTACTACTACTACTACTACTACTACTACTACTACTACTACTACTCCCACTACCACTACTACTACTACTACTACTACTACGACTACGACTACGACTAGCACTGCTACTACTACTAAAGAAATCTTTGGATTCCCAGGAAACCTACCAATTCATTGGGAATCCTAGGGCTCCGTACGTAAGACACACCTTTCGCGTGCGTAAACCACGCCTTTCGCGCGCGTAAACCACACCACTCGCGCACGTAAACCACGCCTCTCGCTCACGTAAACCACACCACTCGCTTGCGTAATCCACGCCATTCGCGCACGTAAACCACACCACTCGCTTACGTAAGCCGCGCCATTCGCGTATGTAGGCCACGCCGTTCGCTTACGTCGACCACGCCATTCGCGTGCGTGCACCACACCGTTCGGTTACGTCGACCACGCCATTCGCGTGCGTGCACCACGCCATTCGCGTACGTAAACCACACCATTCGCTTACGAAAATAACACCGCTCGCGTACGGAAACCACACCATTCGCTTACGAAAAACACACCATTCGCGCACGAAAACCACACCATTCGCTTACGAAAACCACGCCAGCCGTGTGCGTAAGCCACACCGCTCGCTTACGTGAACCACACCGTTCGCGCGCGGAAACCAGACCATTCGCGTACGTAAACCACACCATTCGCGTACGTAAACCACACCACTCGCTCACGGAAACCACACCACTCGCTCGCCGAAACCACGCCACTCGCTCACGGAAGCCACACCATTCGGGTACGTGAACCACACCGCGTGCTCACGGAAACCGCACCATTCGCGTACGTGAACCAAACGACTCGCTCACGGAAACCACACCATTCGGCGAAGTGGAAGACGCCAGTCGCGCACGAAAGCCACGCCAGCCGCGCGCGTAAAGCACACCCACGCATGAAAGAAAACACGATTTCATAAGAAAAACCCTGGTTTTCGGAGTGGCGTCTTGAATCCGGGGTAGGAGAAATGCCATGCTTCCCGCGAAAAAAAGGAGCCCTCCAAACCCCAGGACCACTTGGGGGGCCCTAAGGTGCGCGGGGACACGGAGGGGTTGCGTTTTCTCGCTTGCGCTGTTTACAAGGGTAATGGGTCCGGCGTCTTGAATCCCGGACCCGCCAACATTTTCATGGCGATGGACCCGACCGCATGCAGTTACGAATACCGCAAAGCAGGTTGAGCGAAGGAGAGGGAACTCCTGAGGGGCCACGAAACGTGTGTGAGAGGTGTGCCGAAATGGGTGCGGTGCCGCCATGCGAACGCAGCCACTGGGGCCCTCGGTGGAGCTCCCAATTGGGCAACGAAACGTGTGAGGGGTGTGCCGAAATTGGCGCGGTACCGCCATGCGAACGCAGCCACTGGGGCCCTCTGTTGCGCTCCCTATGGGGCCACGAAGCGTGTGAGGGGTGTCCCGAAAAGAGCGCGGTGCCGCCATGCGAACGCAGCCACTGGGGCCCTCGGTGGAGCTCCCTATGGGGCCACGAAGCGTGTGAGGCGTGTGCCGAAATGTGCGCGGTGCCGCCATGCGAACGCAGCCACTGGGGCCTTCGGTGGAGCTCCATATGGGGCCACGAAGCGTGCGAGGGGTGTTCTGAAACGAGCGCGGTGCCGCCATGCGAACGCAGCCATTGGAGCCCTGGGTGGAGCCCCCTAGGAGGCCACGAAACGTGTGAGGGGTGTCCCGAAATGGGTGCGGTGCCGCAATGCGAACGCAGCCGCTGGGGCCCTCGGTGGAGCGCCCTATGTGCCGAAATGGGTGTGGTGCCGCCATGCGAACGCAGCCACGGGGGCCCTCGGTTGAGCTCCCTATGGGGCCACGAAGCGTGTGAGAGGTGTGCCGAAATGGGCGCGGTGCCGCCATGCGAACGCAGCCAGTGGAGCCCTCGGCTGAGCTCTTTATGTGGCCACGAAGCGTGTGAGGGGTGTGCCGAAATGGGTGCGGTGCCGCCGTGCGAACGCAGCCGCGGGGGCCCTCGGTGGAGCTCCCTATGGGGCCACGAAGCGTGTGAGGGGTGTGCCGAAATGGGTGCGGCGCCGCCATGCGAACGCAGCCACTGTGGCCCTCGGTGGAGCTCCCTATGGCGCCACGAAGCGTGTGAGGGGTGTGCCGAAATGGGTGCGGTGCCGCCATGCGAACGCAGCCGCTGGGGCCCTCGGTGGAGTTCCCTACGGGGCCACGAAACGTGTGAGGGGTGTACCGAAATGGGCGCGGTGCCGCCATGCGAACGCAGCCACTGGGGCCCTCGGTTGAGCTCCCTATGGGGCCACGAAGCGTGTGAGGGGTGCCGAAATAAGTGCGGTGCCGCCATGCGAACGCAGCCATTGGGGCCTTCGGCTGAGCTCCCTATGGGGCCACGAAACGTGTGAGGGGTGTGCCGAAATTGGCGCGGTGCCGCCATGCGAACGCAGCCGCGCGCGCCCTCGGTGGAGCTCCCTATGGAGCCACGAAACGTGTGAGGGGTGTGCCGAAATGGGCGCGGTGCCGCCATGCGAACGCAGCCACTGGGGCCCTCGGTGGAGCTCCCTATGGGGCCACGAA